GCAATGTCGACTTGACGCTGACCATCTTTGTATAAGTCAATGAGCTTAGTTTTCACATCGAAATAAATTTCTGGACCACGCGGCATGGTCTTAAAATCACTCAACTTATTCCATAGTACTAGATGAACACAAACTAATAATCTTCTGACACGAAACTGTACTAAACTAATGTTGAAAAGAATTTGTCTACATATTTTCGTCCCTCATAAAAAGTGCTTAACAAGGAATTTAGTTTTTCTACTAATAACGCATTTGTTTATGGAGCAATGAAGTATGAATTCGTTTTCTAAAGGTATTTAGGTAAATGTTCATATTTGTCTATATACTTTTGTCCATTACTGTATATAGAAGCGACAAATTTCTGGAACTTCACGTATTCGACGTCTAGCGTAAGGAAACCTGATAATTTTAAATTTTACTTCAATTGAGGTTATGTTTACGACAGTAAGCCATGTAATTACACTGATCAACAGCCAAAAAATATCCTAAATAAAAACAACAAAATATTACTATTTTTAATGTGCTAAAACCGGAATGAAACTTATTTTTTCAATATTAGTTTTAGAGATACGGTAATTATATGTGTTCCTGCTGTGACAGTGTTAATATACTGTAATTCACAAGAATACACGTGCTACATTTTTATATTCGGCAAGGAAAGATGATGTAATCGGCATGATTGTGTTACGTTATACATACGTGTACATTATATTGTTTTATATTAGCCATTTTTTCCTCAGTTGGCTGACAGCGTTCATGCAAGATGTCTCGAAAGTGTGTAAGCAATCCAGATCAGTTTTGTTACGTGTGTGGTGATGTGACTTTTGCGTCTCAGAGACGGTCTATTACTCCACTAATAACAAAGGCATATCAGCTTTATTTCGGTTGTAAACTAGGTGATCAAGACAAACAGTGGGCACCCCACGTCTGCTTAATACATGTGCTTCAAGTCTGAGGAGCTGGTTAAATGGCAAAAAAAGGGTCTATGCGCTTTGCTGTCCCAATGGTTTGGAGAGAGCCTACAAATCATATTAATGATTGTTACTTTTGCATGGTACCTTGTGTTGGACAAGCCACAGGTATGTCCAAGAAAAAACAATCGGTTATTAACTACCCAAACATACCATCTGCGATGAGACCTGTGCCTCACAGTGACGAAAATCCTATTCCAAAACCCCCAGAATCCTACACTTGCGAATCAGAAAACGAATCAGACCATGGCGATCGAGTGATTCATCAGGAAGAAGATATGCCATCAACGTCAAGAGATCCTGATTTTATACCGAGCACGTCATGCCACCAACCGCACAAAATAACACAGTCAGAATTAAATGATCTTGTAAGAGATTTAGAACTTCCAAAATGTAAGGCAGGATCAAGACTGCAGTAGTGGAACCTGTTAGAAGACGATGTTTCGGTATGTGTTTTTCGTAAACGCCACAAAGACTTAGAACCATTATTCAATATGGAGAATCACTTGGTTTTCTGCAGTAACATTAACAGCTTACTGGCGGCTTTAAATATAAACTATAACCCAGAAGAATGGAGATTGTTTATAGACAGTTCAACATTGAGTTTAAAGGCAGTGTTATTGCATATTGGAAACATTTTACCATCTCTTCCTGTAGGGTATGCAGTTCACATGAAAGAATCATATGACAATATGAAGTACCTATTAACATGCATAAAATACGATGAGCACCAAAGGCATATTTGTGGCGATTTGAAAGTTGTTGCACTTTTACTTGGGCTGCAGCTAGGCTACACAAAGTTTTGCTGTTTTTTGTGTGAATAGGACAGTCGGGCAAAGGCACTTCATTACACCAGACAAAACCGGCCTGTTCGTCAATTCCTAGAGCCAGGTCAAAAAAATGTACAGCATATGCCATTAGTAGATTCGAAAAAAAAATTATTACCACCACTGCATATCAAGTTGGGCCTAATGAAAAACTTTGTCTAGGCATTAGATAGAGATGGGTCAGCTTTTCAATACCTGCGTCAGAAATTTCCAAGACTAAGTGAGGCAAAGGTTAAAGAAGGTATTTTTGTTGGGCCACAGATTCGAAATATTTTGAAAGATACACAGTTTGAAAACACTTTAACAGGTATTGAAAAAACTGCTTGGAATGATTTCCGTCTGGTGGTCACTAATTTCTTGGGAAATAGAAAAGCTGACAACTATAAAACCCTTGTCAAAAATATGCTGTCATCGTATCAAAAGATGGGCTGTAATATGTCTCTTAAGATACATTTCCTACACTCGCACCTGGACTTTTTTCCTGACAATTGCAGAGCCGTAAGTGATGAGCACGGCGAACGTTTTCATCAGGATATTTCAACAATGGAAAAAAGGTACCAGGGAAAGTGGAATCCTTCCATGCTTGCAGACTACTGTTGGACTCTTGGTAGAGATGCTCCAGAAACGATCCATAAAAGAACAACAAAAAGACAGCGCATATAGTGATTCTTATAAGTATATGAATCTTGTTACTTTTTTTAATATATCCTTAAAAATAAAAAGTTTTTTTTCTAAACCGCAACTAATTTTTTTATTTCATTGTCATTTTTGAATTCAGCGCCTCAAAATTAACAAAGAAGTGCACTTTTCCCACAAGATACAATTAAAAAACTAAAATTTGTTGTCCAGTGTTATCTGTTTCAACAAAATAGAACTGTTTCTGAACTGTACGTACTTCGGGCATTCGCAGAAGGATGATTCGGAAACCTTAAGAAAATTACAGAGCATTGCCACTAGCAAAAACCGCATCTCTAACACCCGAAACGAAACATCGCTAGATTAAAACAGTTTTAAGGCGGTACATCGTTTTGAAGGTTTTTATACCCGCAATTGTTGTCAATACACAGTATTCAAAAATGGCGGGACAGAAATGTTGAGAAAAACTGCTTTAACCTGAATGGTTTTCCTCGGGGTCCTTTTTTCCGTCTGAGAGGCTTCTGAGCACCTTAACGAAAATTGAAAGAGGGTGAAAACGACAAAGGATTTCCGTGTCAAGTTGATTTATCTTTCGCGGTTTCTAGAATTTTAAAATGAGATGGTTGCTAATTGTCAGCGAGAATAATCGCCGCGTAGGGGGTGAAGTCGGGATTTCGTGTCGGTTTTTGCGGATCAGGCAATTCATTGATTAGAAACGGGGGTTGAGGGTTAGAGCGGCTTGTTTATCCGGGAACACCCGGGCAAAGAAATCAGCTTAATCAGAAAAGAGAATGTTGTTCAAACTTGGAAAGCGCTGTAACATTGTTCCGGCAAACGCACGGCGTACATGGTGGTTCTGAGGTTTCAATTCCTGCAATAGTTGAAGTTTATGGATGCAATTTAAGGTATCTTACCAAAGTACGGCTTAAAGATGTTTTTGATATGGCGAGCTGATCTCTTTCGGGATGATAACTGTGGATCGCGCCATATAGACATCGTAACTTCGCTTACAGTTTCCTCTGTTCGTATTGACCTTAGGCAGGTTTCTGATTCAGTGTCGAACAACCGCACAGTGTGTTCCTTTATAGGGATCAGGGACAAAATTCGATATCTTAAAAACTAGTGGTCCTATTTGAATTCTGTAAACGCAGGGCGATTACTTATTTAAGTAGCTTTCTAAAAACTATTTAAAATAATAAGAAGGGGTGGGGGAGCAGGCGGGATGCATTTCGCATAAATCGTTTTTTTTTTGTAAAAGTCAAAATATTAAGTTGATGATCTCGAATAAATTGGGATAAGGTAGGATATTATTATAGCATTCTTAAGAGAGACAAAAAGTCACACTTTTATTTTTCAAGATCTTTACCGAATGATTTAAAAGATAATGTAGCCAACTTGTGGCGGGTGCAATATGATTTATTAAATTTGTCTTATCTATTTGAAAAAATAATAAGAATAATTCAAATAAATAAATCTGTATAATTTGAAATTGATATTTAGGTTTTTATTTAAAAAAATATATTCAACAAAATAACAATTACTTAGTAGGTAATGTATGAAATAATAATATAAACTATATTAAAAGAATAACACCAAATATACCCATTCTAAGCGGAACAGGATTTCTTGCTCGGTGCTGTGTCATTCGTTATTGTACCTAAGTCAATACCTAAATCATCATTTTCTTGCTTTTTAAATAGTTCCGAACTGCCTCGTTGCATTTCTTATATTTTTTGAGCCCACCTTTCTTTTTGAGGATATAAAAGGATCAGAAGTAAGTAAAAGAACACGCATGAGATCCTTATTCGTATCTGTTCTTGAACATTTTCTGGTGTGAGATAATCGATGTTTCCTAACCTCTTTATGGCGAGCCTCAAGCGCATCCTCCGACAGTTCTCCAATGGGCAAACAAAATGCATCAATTATCTCACACCCATGAACAAGGACCTTATGTACCGTGTTTGGCATGTTGTACCACTTATAAAGGTGGATATACAAATTTCTTGCTTCTTTCAGCAATGACGCAAACTTTTCCATATCAATAGCGCAACCACTAGCTAACACTCCTAAGATGATCGCAAATTTCTCGATTAATTCCCTGTCAACCCCTGTGATATCTGAACTTGTTTGTGGATTGTGGAAAAAAATTCTGGCCGTATTGCCATCATTTGTGGAGCCATACCCGGGTTTTGGTTTGTCAACTATTAGAGACAGCTTGGCTCTGAACTCTGCTTGGATTCGGTTTTTTTTCTTTGTTTTCAGGCCCACGAACCTGCCAAGATTTAATTTGCAGGCGGTATCCAATACGGAGTAAGCATTCAAAAAAACGAATCCAGCAGTGTAAAGTTGACAAACCAAACCGGTAATTGTCTACGTTAGGAGGACGGTTAATCCCTGCTAACGTGTTCATGTCCTTGGGCGTGGCTTCGCAAATGATGCACTTCATAGTTGAATTTGTCTCTGGTAGAACGTTTCCAACACTGCCGTCCAACATTGTTAACGTCATATCAACTTCAATTATATAAGAGTGCCCTTCTTTTGTTTTAATCCCAATAGGAAACAAATTTTAAATTTTTGTTACTATTTCCTTTTCCGTATTCCGCACTAAATCAGCATTTTCCTTTTTAAATAAAAACTTTATCGGCCTACAATATAAAGTAGATGAAGGGCTCTCATTTTTCCACAATACCTTATTCGTTTCCATATCAATCAATCTGAGTGGCGTCATTGCTACAAGGAACAGAAATTCGTCGGTGTTTTCTAAATCAGAAAATTTCTGCTTATATTGGCTATGCCCAGAACTGCCATCAAATCCCCACTTGCATATCACTTTAATCCGGTAATCTCTCTCTTCAAAATTTATTATTTCAAGGATACTTTCAGCTGTTTTCTGTAGAAGTTCTTGCGAATCAACTTCTGCAGAAATTTCAGTAATAATAAATTGTGAAGGGAGGATAGCATTTTTTGTTTTCTGTAATTCTTTATAACTAGGAAGGCAGTTCTGGGCCTTACCATTAATAACAGACCTAAGTAGCAAATACTTTCTTACGGATATATCCAAATCTACCATAAGGGCTAAAGCTTCAGCTGTACTAAAACTAAAAATTTGTGGCGAGACCTCACTATGATTGCTTCCAGAAACCACATTTACAGCAAATTGAAGTACATTTGCAGATCTGTCTGTGGTTAGTTCGGCTACACGTCTTCGTTTTGTTTTCTTCGATGCCTCTTCAAATGGCACCCGTGGCCGTCCAACTGAGCGACAAGGAGGTTCTTGTTCCTCATCCGAAGGTGTGTTTTCTTCAGAATCATTATTTATTCTATATTTGAAGTTGAGTCATTAATTTTCAGATAATAATTGTAGAAGGAAGATAAACCAAAATATGTGTGTAAAAATAAAAAAAAAAATTAAAAAAATGTTTACCTTGTTTTATAAAGTATCCTCCCGACAAGTATTTCAGTGCGGACCTGTATTTGATCGTGAGGTCCCCTGTGAGGTCTTAAGTCACCTGATTCACGAGCCCGTTGTACTACATTAACAAAGGCACGAGGGGTTGGTTGCACTCGATTGGGAAACCGATCCGCATAAACATGTGCCATTTTTTATTTCGTTTGAGCCACGCAACAGACACTATTCACACACGTTACCGACTGACACTGACTGTATGTATAACTGAACTGAATAAAATAATTGTAAAAACATCGTTCCAAATTCTTCCGCTTTTTTGTTTCCGATGCGATGAACCGATAAGGCGGATTATATCCGTTGGTGCCAAACACGAGCACATGATATTATTATTGAGACAGGGCGGTACTCAAACTTCCAAAGGGCTATAACTTTGTTACTTTAATTCCACCAGAAAAATGGTAAAGGAAAAAACATTTCTTTTGATCAGATCTACTCACTGTTAAAATAAATGACTCAACTTCGAAGTCACCCTGTATAATCTTGTCTAACCAATATACCTGATTTTGTAAAAGTCGATTCCGAGATTGTGCTACTTTCTGCCATTTATTTGCCATTTTCAACCCAAACAACTGGCTGCATTTCATAATATAACTTTTAAGATGTTTGGAAGGTTCATCTCTTATATCAATAAGAGATAATATCTTTTCATAAACCACCTGTTTTCTATTTCCTCTCGGTGCTTCTATCCACACATCAATCAAATCTCTATTTCTGACAATAGCACCATGTCCTAAAAAAAATTATATACGTGATTTAAACTTTTTATCAAAACTTACTATGGACAGATAAAAAATAAATAAACAAATTTTTAGGGTGATGGGAGGTGATTTTTGTAAAACTCTAAACAAAGTCAAAAGTTTAAAAAAAATTAAAAAAATCGGTAATAGTCACTTTAACTTAAAAAATTATCTAATTATAATTATATTTTAAATAAATCTATACATCAATATAATGTACTTACCAGCCTCATTACCAGCCATATTGGAAAAGTTAAAATATTTAAATATTTCGACACAAAATTTATATCTTTCCCGAGCAATAAAACAGAGAGATTTTTCGCCTTCTTGACAGGTTTCGACATGTCTAACTTCAAAGTTGCTAAAATAGGTAAATCGCAGCCAACTTGATTAAAGTACTATACTTGCGTGTTGCAGTGACTATTTATCTATCCAATGGTATAATAAAAGCAACAGAATTCTAATGCCAAAAATTATGTTTTTGAGTAATTTTGTCCATTGGGCGCCACACTGTGTACCGGTTCGAACTTTCTGACCCACAACCTGATCACACTTTCACCAGGACATTGATTTAGATCATGTAAACTAAACTCAGAGCGAGACGCTCCATGGCGACTAAATTTCCGAGCAGCAAGCTACTTATCCCCACTACCCTTGTTCTGCTCCCGCGTGTCTGTCACGTGCAACGCGGTTTTGGAATACGTCTTTCTGCTCCACTCTGTATAATAAAAAGCCTTAAACTAGACACTATCACTTATGGATCCCTAAAGTCTCTCTAAGGAACCACCCATAGCGACCCAGATAGCCCTAATCAGTCCAAGAGCTGAATAAGGTGATTCGATTGTATTTATTAGCCCTATCATTCCTTGATCCTTTCACTCTCTCTAAGATGGAACCACCACAGTCCTTTACACCATTGAAATCCGAAGATTTGCAGTGTTACGGGTCCGGAATATTTTTCGACCTCGTTAGTCCCTTAGATCCCTACCCGGGCAACCGATCGCTTGCCCTTGCCGGCAAAATACATTTAAGGGTGTATCAGAAGCTGACCCGCATGTCAAGATAACAATCGGCTGCATCTGAAGCCACCGATTCACTTCCGGTTCCTCAGATGACGAGAAATAATTGCAAACTCTGCCGACCCGATGCTCAACCTACCAGAATAAGCCCTCGTAAGAAACGAGGTGGTTTCGGTGTTTTTTTTTATCAAAGCCGAAGCGACACGGCTTTTATTTGATGGATCGTAAATATATAGAGTTGCTTTCGGTGTACCGGACTGGAAGGTATCGATGAAATATGGAAGGTGTACGTTGGATGGACGAATGGGGTCGGTTTCAAAGACTGTAACGCGGAGACGGAGTCAGATTTGATCTTTGAAGGTTTCAAGGAAAATTCGTGTGATTTTCAAAGATGAAGTTTGTAGAGCATGAGGATTCGACACGATAACAGCGCTGAATGAAAAGACGCCTTACGGTGTTCGTAGAAAAATTGGAGTCAGGTAAATTGAAATTGACCATTGCAGTTTAAATGTGCAACACGTATGGCATCTAAGTCAAACTTTGTGAGCTTAATATCTTTGGGGCCGTTCAAGTATTATGTAAGCAGATTTATTACAATTATTTACCCCCCCCCTATGCCCCTTGTCAGCAAAAGTAAGCAAAGCTCTTACCCCCTCCCCCCATGCTTACGTAAACATTTGTCAATCAATGTATTGTTTTTTTTAATATTATAATTATAACGTTATAATTATATTTTACTGATACTGTATTCAACATATAGTAATGGACAAAAATATTATATCTCACTAACATAAACTTATTTTAAATTTTTGGTACATATATTAAATTCAAATTAACAGTCTTCAGTCCATGAAACCCGAATCCATGATTCTAAGTTTTCGATGACATTGGATTGCTTCTTCGATTGCTGCTCAGTGTTGTGAGTTTGCTCGCTTTCATCGGATTTTGGAATGTCTCCGTCGTTTTCATCGAGCCATTCAACATCATGGTGCTCTAAATTTTGAATAATGCACATCATTTCATTAGCACGACGAGCAGCGACTCTTACAGGTATAACTTTCCTATCAGTGTGAGTGTTTACTTTTTTATGGATATTTTCGATGTGAGGATTTAGTGACTTGAGGGAAGCATGATAAAGACAACACGTTTTGCATGTTCGACTTGATAGTCTCAATTTTACCATCGGACAAAAATAATCGTAGGGCATTTGCAGGAAATCTTTGAGTGAAGCTCTTAAGCGTAGAGCTACATTGCCTGGAAGATTAAGAAATTGCATCAACTGTTTGTTTTACTTTTACAGGTGGTGGAAGAAACCTATTGTCTAGTAATCTAAATGGGCCACTTCTTGGACGACAGCATTCTGAATTTTTATACTTTACAATTTGAAGCAAGTATTGCCTCTCATGCACAAGTTCTGAATACCATTTAGTGTCTGGAAAATCAGGAAGATCTTGTTCACCTGCCCCAACATATTTTGCATAAACATTATAGCCATCAATTTCCATAGCTAATACATTTCCTGCAAATTCGAAATTAGATCTTTCTAAATGTTCATCAATTGTAACGCCACGTTCATCCAAATGAGACCCAAAATGGTCATGAGGCAATTTTAAACCAGCCAGTTCCCGACTAAGAGGAGCCACTCTGCGCTCTACTCTGTTATACGCACTTCTTCCAGGAGCATTGGTAGCTAAAAACAATGCATCGAGATCATGTCGCTTATAGTGTTGTATAGCAAACCCTATGACTTTTTGATAACGTGGATTTTCATCTGGCCCTCCATCGACCGTCATGATTACCACTGGTTTTACTAGTCCATGGTCAGTTTTAGCTAATGGTCGAAACTCTTCAAGTCCGAGAAGCGTCTCGAATAGCGATGTATGTTGGTCCAGAATATCCAAGGCTTGCGGTTGTCCAGCATATTGGAAGTGATTTTGATACCAGCATAAACAGATGGTATTCATTTATGACGCTCAGCGATTACCCAATCGTGATCAGGCAATTTGATTCTATATTCCATGTGCGTTAGAAGACGTGCTTGCTTATTTGCCGCAGTTACGCCAATAGGGACTTGAGGTTTATCATTTTGAGATATGAAAAATACTTGATCTGGTCCAAGTATGGATGCTATGTTCTCTAAATAATGGATTGATGTTTCAGCGATCTTGCTATCTAAGTGGCACAGTTTGAGCCCGAATGAGCTTAACAGGGACTGTCGATACATGTCTTCGTCCCTCTGCAGCATTAGATTTTATGAGAATCAAATGAAGATATGCCCTACTGCGACTAATGTCAAATCCTATTTTACGTAATTCTTGTGTGAGTTCATCAAGAGCTTTTACGCTGCGAATTGATTCCGTTTTGTCTTCTATCATTTGCTGCACTCCCAAATAAAGCTATATCTGCGATTGTTTTCAATAGTGAATGTTGATTGCTTTCAAGATTAGGACGTCCCACTGAATCCCTCAGAGATAGTATTTTTTTATTTCTGGATTTTCGTGACAAATATCTTCTAACTTTCTTTTCATACTATCGCTGTGTTTCTTCTGGGCAACTGCGTTTTGAACCTTCCTGTTTAAAGACTATTTGCTGTTTTTATTTCCTCGCGCAACTTAATGATCTGTTTATCAACTTCAGCACGGCTTGGCATAGTATCACTGGCAGAATACAAAGCATTCAGTTTTTTTTTCGAGTAGAGCAATTTTATTTTTCATAGCTTCCTGAGAAGGTTTTGCTCTCTGTTTATCTGTATTTTCATTTATTTCGCATTGCTGTTGTGATTTATTACCGGGTTTTATTTTATCTCCTTCCTCTTTTTTAATATTTGAAGCTGACTGTATAATTTGTGTTTTTTCTGCAGGTTTACAGGTTGCCTAAAAATAAAAACTTTCTATGGCTTCTGCTAAAGATTCTCTTATTAAGCTACATAAATACAAAGTATAATAATATGTTTAAACGACCAATTCGTTTCGGTCACAAAATGCAGGGTGTTAGTTTTCTGTATATACCTGTATGTATAAAATTAACATCCTTTACTTTGTGACCAATTGACGGAATCAATCATGAGAAATAAATCTATAATATAATCAATATTACCTCTATACTTTATATTATAATATTTTCTAGTAAAGAGAAACTTTTTGGCGATTTCTAATATTTCTAGTACTCATAGGTACCTAAAGTGATTTCGCCACTCAAAAAAATTAGTAGATTGGATTTATTCTTAGTTGTCGCTTGCAATTCTTCTTCGATTCTCTTAGGTATAATAATATCTAGTTCCTTGTCGGATTTTGCTTGTAATTTGTAATTTCGCCACACTCCGTTAACTAAATTTTGTACATTTTGTTCTTTCGTACTTGTATGAGATTTTTCAAAACTTTCAAACAATTTTTGGGTATAACTTGGATTTGTCTATGTGAAACGACATCTTATTTGAACATTAAACTTTGGCTAATGGAATCAATGGTAACACAAATGTTAACTTGCTTTACTATGCTTACAATACGTCTATTCGCTATGGTATCCAAACGAAACAATACACTGATAGAGGAAATTTAGACAAGTGAACACCGCGCGGTAATTCCCCTACTCGGTTCTAAAGCGAGTAGGGGAATTACCGCGCGCTGTTCACTAAACGTATGCATTATTTGCGGGAATCCCCGAAAATGCGTTTTGTTTTCAAGCAAAGACAGTGTGAGGGTTGTCATTCATGTAAAAAAGTAAATAACTACCGATGACGTAATCATCATCTAGACTCCCCTACCCCCCATGTCATCCAAAATAAGCAAAGCACCCCACCATAGTGCTCACGTAATACTTGATTGTTCGATGGAAGTAGAGTTTATCGCGTGTTGCTGGATAGTCGGTGTTGCTAGTCACATACACTACCGTCAAAAGTATTCAAACATCTGCATATTTCCATTTAAAATCATAGCAAACAAAAAAGCTAATCAGTACGTGTTTATTTTCCTTTATTTATTGAAAACCATCACCATGGGAATCAAGCATCTCTGAAATATCATTGAAATCAAAATTGGACAGTTGCTGGCTGGAAGAGGGTCAGCAGTTTTGGTTCCAAGATAAGAGCCGTCGGCCTGACGAGAGGGCAATAGAATCATGCACCGTCGTTTCAGTCAAGCACAGTAGTGCCTTGATTTGGGGCTGTTTTGGTGGCTCTGCTCTGGGGGATATTGTAGGAGTAGAAGGAATACTGAATATCGACGGTTACAAAGCCATACCACAAAATCATGGCCCGAGGTTT